CACAAACTTGTCTTTAAAAGTGATAGAGAGTGGAGACAATTCGAATTCTGATCTAAAGTTAGATCTACTCAGAATTGAGCAGATCTGTTCTCATATCAGTAGCAATACCAGTGTTGATCACAAGCACGAAATATTGAAGTAAAATTGATGAAATAGACATAAATCCAATAAAAAATGAAATAAGAACTAAAGAAGGGATAGAAACATACCTAGCCGGGCTAGTCGGCCCTTGTATCAGGACCACGGCTGTAATTTCCACCGTGAATCCTCCGTGTCTCTCTTCAATGTTGGCCAAACCTTGGCTTGGTTGAATGGTTATCTTGGATCTAAAGTTTGAAAGTTGCAGGCTAGGGTTTGATGGCCTAGGGTTCTTCTCTCTATCTCTCAGATTTCCCTGGGCTCTCTCTATCTCTCAAATCTTAGATTTCCCTGGCATACACGTCTAATTCTAAAAGAGGCACGTAACTGTTTTTTTATAGACTGAAAAGGGTGTAGAATGAATAATTACTAAAAACCACCAGATTTGCCAAGGATGGATCATAGGATGGGGACCATGAATTACAGTGTTTTACGGTTCAGGGATCTTATAGAATAGTATGGCCCTAAGGGTTGTTTAAGGTAGAAAAATCATGAAATTTGCCAGTTTTCAAAATGGGGTGTTTACAACATTACGTCAACATATCTAATTAATGAAACATGAAATAACTCTTAGTTCAGGTAACCTGTTAAAACTAATTATCCACCTTACAGTATCAAAGATTTCTTATGCCATGCTCTACTATTCTAAGTCTGGCTACTCTCGCATGTACGTTAGAATCAAGATTCAAAGGAATTGTTAAGACCACATTCTCTTATCCATTGATAAATTTGTTGGCCAAAAGGGAACCCGAGATTATTTAGTCGTCTAGCCCCGTGATCCACAAAGAATTGTAGAACCCCAATCATCTAAATATTTCACCAACCTAAATGATAATGATAATCATCACCTAAACAAACCTAATTAGTTGCCAACTCTTCCATCACACTTGCACCTTAGTATAGTTGAGCATAGAGTTCAAAGCATTGAACTCGCTATTAGTCAGCTTTGGTAAAAAACCATCGAACTCAATTCTCAAGGGAGTCAACATGCGAATTTTCATTTGTACTAAATTATAATACATAACAAGGATGATTAATTTAAATATAAACTCAACAATACAAAGCAATTTGGAGATGTTAGAATTCTTATATCTACACTTGTAAGTATTAAAATAAAATGATGAAAAACTCGGTGACTCAAGCGTGTCACGTGAGTCACTCGGATTCTAGAGAGGTCCTAACCAGGTAGAATCGGGACCCTCGAAAGAATCGAGCTGGTTCAACATAGTGAACCGGCTCCATGGGGGGACGGAAGGGGTAGTTCCAAAAAATGGGGTAAAAAATGGATGCCGCCCCTTCCATACCCCACCCCCACCCCCACCCCCACCCCAACCCCGAACCGGACCCCGACCCCGACCCCCAACCCCCATGGTAGTAACCACAACTTTTCTATTTTTATCAATATACATAACACTTTTGTGAAAATTTCATTTCCTATTATTACTTATTTTTCTTTTTTTATCCAGGATAAACATTTTTTTTAATGCTGTTTAAGACTGAATCTATGGGACTCAGCGCACTGACTCGGCACTCACTAAGCCAACTCAGTCTCGCCCATGGGTCTAGAGCTGATTGTGGCTTTGTTACACCCTGTTAATGTAACATGCTAAATTACAAACAATTCATACGAACTTTTTAAGTAAAACTCTCTAAGACAAGTAATGAAAATATGAGTACAGCATAAGGACTAAAAAAAAAAAGGCCACACATTTAAAGAGAAACCAATTATATGTGCTAATATTATAAAAATAATATAAGGAAAAAAGTCTAAAATTCCAATTAGGACTATGGAAATTTGGATACAATCAACAAAATTTGTTACACAATGAACATATAATCTATAAAAGGATACCGCCTTAGGTCTCATAAAGATCCATAAAAGCAAAAGAAGTAAATCTATGCGTAATTTTTGTTTATGAAAAGAAGGGAAAGCCAAAACTTACTACTAAAAAGACTTCCTTAATTGGACGTTACTAAAGTTTTTGCTTAGTGCTAATATGCATCTCAAATCTGATATGCCATTAGAAATCGATACAACAAAAATTTCACCAGAGTGAAAATTTTGGGCTACTTTTACTTTACAAAACTTGGAAACTCAAGTGAATCAAATCAACCAGATCTCTGGAACATCAGTAGACCCAATTGCACATGGCCAATGAGATCCAATGGTGTCGGAACCACCTTCTCAATTTTATTTGCGATGGTTGCAACATGCTAGTGCCCTAATGGCAAAGAGTTGTTTGCCATACCACCATATTTCACTATAATAAATCACAAGATGCAACCAAAGACAACAAAACCTATCACCGCTTTTTCTTTTCGTTTCTTTTTTCCATCATAAAATTGTATGAGGTTTGAAATGCGATTGCACAGCAGTGTTCTGGAGGCTGATCCTTAAAGGTGCAAAGAACACTTTGGTGTAAAATACACACGATACAAACTAAAAACAAATACCCATTTTTTATTCATGATATAAAATGTAAAATTTTCCTTTACTACTATTATTATTGTTGTTGTTGTTGTTATCATCATCATCATTATTCTGGAAAGTAGAGATTTGAGGAGTTGGTAAATAAAATTCAAATTTCAAGGAGCAAGGCACATGCAATAATAATATCAATGGCAAATAGTAAAAGAAAGGAGTGAAACAAAGACATTTATATGGGGTATGGTTTGTATATGGTTGGAACATTAAACAATCCAATTAAGGTACACCTCTAAGTATTATTAAAAAAGTAATTTTGATATAAAAAATTCTTAGGATGGCTTGAGAATCTATTTTCATCTCTAATTATAAAATTTTAAACTCTAAAAATGGTTCAAATCAAGCAGGTATATAAACAAATGAAAATCTTGAAAATGGATGGGCCAGATAATGTATTGCAAGATATACTATTTCGTGGACTCGAAATCTTTTTTTCTATTCATATTCATAAATCTCGATGTAGAGATGATCACTTAGAGGGTTTTCCAACATCCAAACAACCTTTTATGATGGATTTTTGAGGTACATCTTTAATTCTACATTTAAGGTTGCAACCTTATGTAAACTTTTTTCATTTATAAATGATTAAAAAATAACATATTTTGTTTACTAATTTTCTAGATCAAAATTAATTTTATTTCATTTTCTGGTGGCTAGCCAAGAGAAGCACTTCAATACTCGAGTCCTTTTGGGAACGTCTTTATTGATATAGGATAACTTAGAGAAAAGAAAAAATTAATTTCGAGGAAGTCTCATAACAAAATATACCTACAAAATCTTTCCACCATCAAACATAAAATTCAGCACCCTTTTCACTTTTTCCCACCAAACGTTAACCACAAATTTGCAAATCCGCTAAATTGGACACATTCACATCCGAGAAACAATAAACGGAAATCATATAAAATTCATACACATAAATCCAACATTTAAATACAACTAGGCATTACATATGTCCAGACCGAACTTACAAAGCCAAATTCATAACTATATACAGTAATACGATTAAATTTTTTTAACTAAATGCCTATGCCACAAAAATAGAGCTTCATTGCAAATTGACATACGAAATAGCCCACCTTAAATAATAAAGGAGTACACTCTGTTGAAGATATTCTAAAACAATACCTTCAAGAAGAAAAGTACTAGATTTGTGCATGTTGATACATGGTGATAAAAAAGACTACGGAAAACTTCATTTTTTTCTTTTTGATATGAAGGAAAACCTAATGTAAAGATAGATTATAAATCACATAGATTTCCAATCGACGGACCATCATTATGTCCTAGGAGGGATAATCCCTTTTCGCTCATAGTTTAAAAGCTTATAGAAATTCTGGAATTTAGCACGTGAAGAAAAAATAACGTTGTCAATAAACTTGCGGTATTTGCATCTGTTATATTATGCTTCTTTAATGTTAACATATTAAAACCAAAATACTCCAGGCAAACTGGTTATAATTGAAAAAACAGAAAACCTGCAAGACTTCAAAGTATTCAAGAATCGTTAGAGATGGCCAATGCTCCAACTTGAGTTCTTTGGCAAAAGGGTATTGAACAAAAGGATGGGTTTGCTTGGGTCCATTCTGCACCTAAAGGACCATTACTTGTCTAGCCACCATAATGATTTGTTGGCTAGTATTCAAGAATCATTATGGAAAGTTACCTTGACCTAGCAAGCCTGACTCAATTACATCTTAAACCTTGAAAAAAAACCTATGAAATACTCATCTTGAGCCCTGACCTCTTTGATCTTCTCCAATTTCTTTCCACTAGATGGTCTCCCAATCATTTTTGCTACCTTAGGCACCATTGTTCAAATAATTAATTGAATCATAAGCAAAGCTCAAGTTGACCAAATCTTAAGGAAAAGTCCATTGTATTCGTACCGTCAACTATGCTTGAGACTCGAGAGATAACCCCTAACAACTTTTCACCAATGACCATCTATAAATGATCTATACAACATGGGCACGCATGTTTATGGTTCTTGGCATGTGTCGACAGACCAAGGAAACTACACTCATACTTCGCTCTTCAAAAGCTCAGACACTTTTTGTTGACCTTTCTGTTGAATCTCATCGTAAAATTACTTTATTATTATCTAAAATCTAGCCGTTCAGTTATTTAAATGTACATATGTGTCGTGTTTGAAAGGCCAATTTTGAGGTTAAAATTCCTAACATTCATATTAATGTCAGAACCTGACACACATATTTGTGTCTTCATATTTTAGAAAAAGACAAAGAAAGAAGCTTTTTTCATGAGAATAGCCATAATGACATGGCACCAGAACGGTTGGAAATTACACTCGGATTACATGAAATTCGGGGTCCAGATCATCTATATTCACTTAAGGTCGATTTTGTTACAAAAAAAGAACAAGGGAATATGAGATCATATCATGAGTAAGGGAATACGAAATAATCAATTTGTGACCAGTTTATTAAAAAACAGCGACAAGCATGTTTTATGTAATGAACGCATATCCAAATCCAGTTGAAATATCCACCTAGAAGAAACCGGGACAACAAATTCTTTCTTTCCACAAAGAAGAATTCATTCTAGAGGAATAAAATTTACAATTGCATGAAAAACTTGGGCAATCATGAACTACACCAAAGTGCTAACAGATTTTGAATCTCACAAATTTATCCTGATTAAGAAGTAAATATAAAAAGAAAAAAAAAATTCAAGATTGACAACCCTGAGTTTCCATGAATATGAGAGCTACACCCCTCATATTCAAAAGCAACGCCTTTGGTTTTAGTGGCATGCTAAATATCAAAAGAAGTAAAAAAAATAAAAAATTCCCTATCTCATCACATAACGGAATTATAAACCTAAGAAAAGGAAAACAGAAACCCTAAATTACCAAGAAAATACCCGTAAAAGAAATTCTGACGGGTCAAGGACAGAAAAGCCACAGGACTCAATCGGATCCCTAACACACGCATGCACAACAGCAAAGAAACTGCACTACTTCACCTCCAAATTTTTTATTCAAATTGCACAAAATTCACAAACAAACTCATAAAACTTTCCCAAAATAACAGTAACTCAACAAGCTGCATCAGAAGCAATCCTTACAAACCAAAACATTGCAGTTTTCAAAAATTAAGAAACAGAAACCACAAGAAATAAGTCCAATTGAAAACTAAAAAGAGAAAAAGAAACACCATTTCAACTAAATCTCACCTGAAAATCAACACAACAAAGAAAGAAGAAGAGGGAGGGGCTAACCTGTTGCAGAGGGAAGTTGCAAGCTTGATGATCGATGATCGATGATCTGTCAATTCGATGGCGATTTTTGCCCCTCTCCCTCATCTCGAAACCCTCTCATTTTATATACGTTAAGAGTAAAATTTCAGTGAAGGAACTAAACAACATTAAAAATAAAAAAAGAACGACTACAAACGAGAAAAAAAAGAAAAGAAAAAAAAAAGAAAAGAAAAAAAAAAGAAAAGATATATACGAGTAAAAATATATACGAAATACATGAGTAGGTATAATATAGGGTGTATAGAAAACGCACACAATAAGGAGAGGGCATCGTATCGCGCCGCCCCACTTTGTGCTGCTTTTAAACGTTCGCCACGTGTCAAAAAGATAGGTAAGAAAAAATCCACCAAAGGAAACAACGCGAGAATCTCTCCTTTCCCTTATTATTCCTCTTCGATCGTATGACGTTTAATTGTGGGGAAATAACTTATAATTTAGGAAATAAAAGTAAGGAAAGTCTCAGGTCAAGATCTATGCAAAATCTGGGGTTCGAAAATCGCAGCTTTCTTTCACCATTATGGCGGTGAAAAACACTTTTTAGCCGTTTTGATCCATGAAAATGGATTACTTCTAAAAATCTATTTTCATTCAAATATAAATTTTTTTTCATATAGATCTCTAATTCCTCGTATTATTCAAGGTAGACATTCTTTCTGTTTTTTTTTTTACGCAGCATAAGTAGACCTTCCGTTTTTCTTTGATGCTGCATAAGTAGACCTTTAAAAATTTTACCTTACCCCGTATCTCTTATTTCCTTTTTTGGTTAACTTTTTTACTATAAAAATTACCCCCGCCAAATCTTTTCATATCATTTCAACCCAAAAAATTTTTAACTTCTTTTTCTCCTTCAACCCATTAAAAGAGTTTTTGAGTTAAAAGAATATTTATTGGGGCTGATTTTTATGGTAAAAAAGTCGGGTACGATCAAATCCTTAAAGATTTCCTTATGGTACTTAAAAGAAAAACGGAATGATGGTCTACCATGAAATAACATAAAAAATAAGGACTTGTCTGAATTTTTTCCTAAAATATATTTGGAGAAAAGTATTTTCTTTTACAAAATAAATTTTAGCGGTTTGGATGCTATATTAATGCATAATATTTTCATGTTTTTACTTTTTAATTTTTGTTAAATAGTTTTATTGTATTATTCATGATAATATTTTTTTAAAGGAAATTATTAAAAGGGGAAAGTATAGAATGAGAATATTTATCTTTACTACAAAGTGAAACATTAATCTTGACCATTGTATGTGAAATTGAGTGGCTGCAATTATTCCATTGACCAAGCTCAAACTTTAAAAGAATTTTTTTCGAACTTTGTGACATATCTAAGCTATCACACTTCACATCGGATGGTTGTAAATAATTATGACCACTTTGTATCAAAGGTAAATAGTTTCATTGTATACAATCCTTTATTAGAAATATACCTTAATTTTTGACAAATTAAAAAAAAAAAACTCTTAACTTTCATGAACCTCGTACACACCATTTTTTTTCAGTTTTGGTATTTAAAAATATTCGAGTTATATGCCGTATAACATGGTGTAGTCATTATGTCGTATACAATGGGGTAGTCATTATAGTACTTAAAGTACTATAACGTTAGGGCTTCATAATAATAAGGCTACTGTGAAGACTATTTTATGAAAAACATAAAAACCAGCGTTTTAAAAAACGTCGAGTGGAACCGGACTCGCCCGGTTCGACTCGAAAATCGTGAAAAGGGACCGGATTGTTAAAAAATCGGAAATCGTCCGGTTCTAGAGAGAACCGGACGATTCCGCACAGTGACTCGCCGATTCACTGTGCGGAATCGGCGAGTCCGTGAAGAACACAGGTTGCACAGTGTTCTTCACGGCATTCTTTGAAATTTGTCATTTTTTGATCATTTTTCTTGTTTTTTTGGCATGTGATCTGATTAGCAGGCTGTAAACAACTTTATTCAGCTTTTTCAAGGATTAAATGGTGGAAAAATTTGTTGTTTTTGGATCATGAAAAATTTGGTGTTTAGGGTTTCCGCCTTTTCTGAAAGTTTCATGCCAAATAGGGCATGAATCTTTCAAAATTTGTAGGCATTTTGATCTTAAAGCTGTGAATCAAAACCTTTTGTTACTAATTTGTGATAATCGTTGAGAAAAACTGAGTTTTTTGGAGATTGAAGGCTTCGGTTCACAAAATCAGGTAAGAAGTTTGGGTTTTTTTTTTTTCCGCCATTTGATTTATTTCAAGGCATATTTTGAACATAATGAGTTCAATAATTAGGGTTTTTAATCTTTATTGTGTCTAGTATGATTTAAAATTTTCAATTTTACGTAATCTGGTCAATTACAGCAAGAAATTTGAGATGAACACTGAGATGTCTGCAGAACCAAAATTCCGCTGTTTTTTTTTTTTTTTTCCGCCTTTTGATTTTGTTTTCATGATATATTAGAAATAATGTGTTAAAAATTTAGGGTTTTGATTCCTTATATTGTTGTTTATCAGAAAATATACTCAATTGGATGTAATTTATTCACTTAGAGGTGAATTTTTGAGTTAAATCGCTTATGTAAAACGACCTTGTGAAGAACAGTAATTTTTTTTTTTTTTTTTTTTGTAACCCATGATAGAATTTTTTGTAATCCATGATCGAATTTTTGTAATCCATGATCGAAATGTTTGTTTTTTTTCTTGTAATCCATGATCGAGTTTA